AAAAAAAAAACACTCGCGCAACCACCAATCAATCATTTTTAACACGAGAGAGGGAGAAAACACTCATCGACTTGATTATGCATGTAACTGAGGGACCGACCCATGACTCACATTTCGCAAGCCACCACGGTGTTGATCCCCAGGTGCCTGGTTCCTCGAGGCTGCCCTGTACATCGGTTGCAGATGTCGTGCAGCATATGGTAGATGGCATGCACAACGCATTCAAAACTACAGATTTAAACACTCTTGCATTCTCGAACAAAATCCCGCCGAGGGCGGCGTCTAATCGATACAAAAAGGCAAGTATCTCCATACATACATTCACTATGGAAGGTGCGAAAATGATAAGGGTACACAGGTCGGGAACCAACCGAGGAAATTGTACACACGCATCCACCGTTCACAAACAAGAGGATCAATTCCTCGATATTCGGGGATTACCCAGAAAACTAATGGAAGAGTTCCGGAAGAAGTTCTTTTACGCAGGAGAGCACACAAATTCATTCTCATTCATGAGAGGGACAGGCATCAAGACTCATCGTCAAAGATAGAGGAGAGAGAGGGAGACAGGGGAGGAAGGTCGAGGTAGGAAATGACAAGATCGAAAAGAGGAAGTTCGGTGTTGCCGCCGTACACTCACACCAGAGATAAAGATCCGCAACAACAAAGGCGCATTCGCCGTGAATTCCAATATGGCCCCGAGCCAACTACTCACTCAACTCCAATCAATCGATCCTCATGCCCGCACCGACGATCCCGGCCGTCGCGTGCTACCTCCCACCACTGCGATCGTCACCCTGCCGACGTAAACTTGACGCAGTTCACCCAGATCCCACAATCCGTCGTGGCGATCAAGCGCGCAACCAACTAGTGTATCGTCAGCTCGACAGGACTTTCCGACTCGCACCAAACACTCTGCCTAACCACTGCTTCCCGGAAGTTGGCTTGGGAATCGAGAACGTAAGAGAGATTTGCGGGCGCGTTTGCAGAATTTATAGTGGCGAAAAGGGGGGCGAGGGAGAGAGAAGGCAGGGGGAAAGTCGAAGTGTAAGAAAAGAAGCAGGAGGAGAAGACTTTGAGAAGAGTGCTCCGTGGAAGCCATGTTGATCCCTCGAGACTCAAGGTTCAACCAATCAGATTCGTTGCGCAATAGGGAGATCCCATTGATCCACGAATCTGATTGGCGAGCGAGAGTTATCTAAGGATCGACCGGGCGTCGTGCGCTGAATTCAGAGGGTGAGAAGGAAAAGGCGCGAGATGTAGCGCAAGACGGGTCGAAGATTCAGACGATCAAGAAAGGGAAAATGGGCGCGCAATCGGCCAGAGCGGGAGAGAGGGAGGGAAAACAGTTGCGAGAAGGGAGGATGACAAGGGGGAAGGAAGGAATAGCGCGGGAGAGAACGATGCGGGAGACAGAGCGGGGGCAGGGGGGGAAGGAGAGGGGAAACAGGCTTCGCATGCGTGGCACCGTCAACAGAAAGAAAAAAAAAAAGGCACCGAAACAGTTACAGCTTGCCTGCGTCCAAGACCAGATTAAAATTGAAATCACCATATCCGCGCGCGAAGAGAACGACGCGGAAAAAGAAAATTCTACGCCTATTCGTATTCTCACAAAATTCCGAGAGTTTTCCCCAACGCGACCGAGAACATTCACACACAAAAAAAGGACACGTCGAAGTTCCGCTTATCCCGGAATTCCCAACTGCCGGACCCAATTCCCGGTGCGCTCGCTAAGGCGCGTGTAAATTCCCTTGTATTTCCTGAATTGCAAAAAGCAGAATTCCAAGAATCAACCAAGCTTTCGACAAAACGGGGGCCAAAAACACGGCGCCCAAAATCAAGAAAACAAACGGGGTACTCCTATGGTCGGTATGGTACAAGAAAAATTCGAGCCAAAGGGGTACGAAAGATAGCACAGGTTCGGGAAGTAGTTCGTCACACACATCTCGATTTCTAAGCGGGTTTAGGGTTGGAATGTTTGTCGTAATTCAGAGTACTATGTTGGTGCAGCGGCTCGCGACTGGTAGAGGGAAGCATTTTTAGAACCGTTCAGGGTGGAACTCGTGGAACTACTTTCGTCTTCACCCGAATAGAACGTCCGGTCATTATAGCTGTATTTGATGCATTTTTCAGTCCAGATAGGCCCATAATCACCGGGCATTCTATTCGGGTGAAGACGGTAGCCGCGGTGCCTCTTGGAGACGTGAACTAGTGAGAAAATGCCAACAGATAGTGAGAATGCTGTCAGGTGATCAGCGAGACCCGAAGAAGAGCAAACTTGAGTTGTACCCATTGGCTGCGTGATGAGAAAGCCTGTGATACGCAACCTCACGCCCCCTTGCAGCTTCCCGTACGGGGTCGCCAATTAGAGTTCTAGGAGGGGCGTGGCCAAGGATTTTTGGCCGTAAGGGTTGAGTCTTCCGGATGGAACGGGAGGCTCTCGTTTCGTGGCCGAGGTTTTCTCAGAGTCGAACTGTCGTCGCGAAGTCCCGTGGGGGTTGGATTACTCCGAAACCATAAAATCATAAGGGTTTCTATGAAAATGAATTGTCGTCGTGCATCGGGACGGGAAAAGGCATCAAGGGGAGGGGGCCATGGCGGCGGAAGACATAACTTCGATCGTCAGGGGTTTGGGGGATAGGTGGTGGGTTCGAAGCCTTCRGGCCTCATCATCGACTTCACAAAGTGTATGAACCCTCGGGTCTTTGTCGTGGAGGTGGGTGGTTCGAGGCYTTCAGGCCTCGGCRTYGGACTCRMARAGTCCGCGCGAAAGTTTTCRGGAGGGTARAGYGGCGGGAGGACTCGYCGGCATCTRAATTCGAAATTGYGCGGGCAGCGCCCCCGCGCTACGGGAAAGCTCGGGGAAACGCGTCGCTCCCTCGTAACCCAGGACCAGCCGTCGCCACGAACACGAGTCCCCCTGGCGACACCAGCGACAATCAAACTGMGGTCGCCACGCGTCGTGAGCGGCCSACCAGGGYAACACCGTTAAACCCGTATAAGGCAATATCAGMGTCGGGRAATCAAASCGATCAATCAACACAAACYCGTTSCCCCTTATCTCACARGCCYGCGGCGGGTCTTGCCAACACACTTGCTCCRTCCGCCTCAGYGCGCGCCGTACGTCCGCATCGCAGTAGACACTGTCGTCATCWGTGATGGGGAAGGCCGGTAGYGAAATGAGACGATCRGAGGTACGTGATGAACACGGGCAAGATCCYGCGTTCCCGGTCATCCGATCCAACACYGAATCCATACAACAATYGCCGCAACTTTTCTCTCTCAAAAAAAGGGGGGGGGRRGGGGGGTGCGTAGGGGGAASAWRACGAAAGCTAMGCTTTCTCCYCTTGGCGGGGGCGTCGACCGTCCGYGCGGACGCAGGCGGTTGACGTCACCGGTACAGGGACGATAAGCTCGAAAAGCGATGACTGTCAGTTCCTAGAAAGGCGATCGAGGAAGGGAAAAAGAGAGAGAGAGAGAGAGAGGGAGTGAATTACGCCGGGAAAGCGCGAGGGCGCAGGAAAGACCGCGGAGGGGAGAGGAACAACCGGATCAACACATTCATACTCTTAAGCAGACAGTCCCCCAGTTCAGTTTCCCCATCCCCGCTCGGACGAGTACATACACACATACAGGCATGCAATCAACATCACTTGACAGGACATCTAATCATCCCTGGACCTTCGACGTCACCCCTGCGCAGAACCAGCTCCCATCACTCAGGGCTTCACACACGCGACATGCATAGACAAAGCAGCAATGGAGATAAAAGTGAGTCCTTCTTGTACACAAAATTTCAATTAACTGCCGCCCCCAGGCGCAGCCTTCAAAACTCCCCAAGACCACCGACCACCATAGCCACAAGGCCCTGCCGCGGCCGGCGTCCAATCCCCACCACTGCTCAGTCCCTCCGACTGCTTCGCCCCGAGACTACCGCGGGGTCCACCCCACGTCGTCACTCCACCCGTTCTTGGGCTCGTCGAGCCTGTTCGGCGCCGCGGACTCTCGCGCATAGCTCGCGCAGCATTGCAGCCGAGATCAAAGAGAGGGAGAGGAGAGGGTTGCGCAAATTTATAGCGCGGGAGGCGGCGGGTTAACAGCACGAGGTGCGGGCAGCGCAGGGTGCAGAGGAGCAGGAAAGGAGAGAGAGGTGGGGAGTTAGAGGGTTCGACCCGCGGGATTGCATGGCTACGTGATTGGGGTGTTTGTTCAAGTGGTGCACGGTTTCCCGCTTTCCACATTGATCCGAGCATCCCAACTACGCAGCCAATCACTTCGCGGAGGAAGACAGGGTAAGGATCAAGTTGGGCGTAGGGGAAGACGAAGAGTCCTGCATGGGGAAAATGCGCGCAGCAAGAAGGGAANATCACTTCGCGGAGGAAGACAGGGTAAGGATCAAGTTGGGCGTAGGGGAAGACGAAGAGTCCTGCATGGGGAAAATGCGCGCAGCAAGAAGGGAAGATGGCGCGAGGATGCAAAGCAAGAAACGGGGATCCGAGACGCGCGAAAAAATCGAAGCTTGGGCGCACGCGCAAAAATTAAAAGACTCCCAACCGCACCCGTTTCTTGATTTTCATACCGCGGCCGCTATTCGCCCGCGGGAGTTATTAACCAAACAAATTGAAAAAGGTCATTTCAAAAAGAAAACAAAAAGCAAAAAGAAAGAAAAGCCCCTTTCTATCTCCGTCCGTACTTCGGGGCTTCCGCGGGGGTTTGCCCCAAGGATACAGCAAGCCGCGCGGTACGGATCTGAGCTAATCACATCTGTTATACGCAGGGGGTTCCGAAAAATTAGCAGTCTTCCGACTGCTGACGTCATCATATCTTGGATGATCGGGCGGCCTCTTCATCGTCAGCTGGCCCGATCATCCTTCTAATCTATGTGGATGCATCCCGCATCCTCCATTGCCTCCTCTCATAGGATACATCCGATCGGGCGGCCCCTTCATCGTCAGCTGGCCCGATCAGAATTTTTTTTTTTGAACATACAGCGCGTATTGTCGCGCGAGCTTTAGATCCAAAAGAGAAGGGAAGAAGAAGAGAAGAAGAAGGAGAGGACGGGGGAGAGGTAGACGAAGGTGATCAGATGAAGTGATCTATGTCGGGATTGAGAGGGGGCGGAATAGGTGGAAGAAAGGCGGCCACTGCCGCAAGAGTCGTCGGCGCATCTTCCTCACGGAAATGATGCTGGACGAAGGAGGGGTAAAGAAAAGCCCCCGGCATATGAGAGAGGACACGTGGCGCCAGATCCGCCACCGCTCGCACCACCTGCTTGCGCACCGATCGAGGCCCTCGACCCATCATCACCACATGCGTCTCGGTATAAGGCCGCCGATCCCACTTCTGCGCCGCGAAGACCAGGAAGTGGTACACCGCATTGGGACGCTGCCCAGTCTCGTAGATGAGCATCCCCGCCAATCGCGCCGCAATACACCCTTGAAAAACGGGTGTCAGATATGGCTCCCACGCCGGATCAGGGCGCGGCACCCCCGCGATGGCCTCGAGCCTAATGGTGGCGGGCTCCACCATGAAGTCCACCTCGGTCGGATGGACCGTCTGGCTCAGATGAACTACTAAGGTCAATGACCGGGGCACCCCGAGGTGGTTGGCGGGAACGGAGAGGTCCCGCGAGGACGGGGGGTCTGGATATGGGATCCAGAAATCCCAGTCGGCTTCCTCCTCCGGCTGCTGCTGCTGCTGATGGCCCGGCTCCATCAAGATTAAGGTCGGGCACACGCGGAATGGGCGGCGATGGCACGATAGTCTCCTTAACGAGCATCGCCACGTGCGCGGGCTGAATCTCCTCCTCGCCGCCGCTGATCCTGCTGCCTTGCACTCCTGGCGACGGGTGGCGTCTCTTCCTCTTCGGCGTCTTCTTGGGGGCCTTTGGTGGCGCTGGCCGAGAGTACGATGAGGGAGGACGCAACGGCCTTTTCTCCGGGAAGTCCTCCAATCTCTCCGCACGCTGCGCAATGTAATCCGGGATGACGACCGCGTTGTACGTTCTCCGCGGGGCCGTCACCGTCCGCAATCGCGGTTGGATCTCCTCTTCCTCGCTCGCGATCACTTGCACGATGGAGAGGAGCTCAAGATGTATGAGCTCCAAAAATCCCGCATCGATCGTCTGGAGCTGGGCGAATGGGTACAGCGCGACCGTCCCTTCCTTCTCTGCTGGCTTGGGTCGCGTGATGACGTAGTAAACGACGAAGTGCTCACCGGTAGCGTGGTCTTCGTGATCCACGAAGAGCCGGAACATCCCCAGCGCCACCGACTTGTACAGCGCCCGGTGCAACTCCCACGTGTCCTCGTCGGCGAAGGGCAGCGGCTCCACGTCAGTTAGCTCCACCAAGTACTCCGAGAACTCGCGCATGGGGTAAGGGCCCGTCGTGAGCTGGTAGGGGAGGGTGGTGTAGGAGAAGAAAGGAGGCATTTAGTACGGGACAGGGGGAATAGCTTGGAGGTTGAGAGGAGCAGCGGGAGGGAGAAGCGCGGGGAGCTGCGGCACCAGCGCAATCGGTCCGTCCTCGGCCCTACGCAGCAGCACTTTGTGGGCTGTGAATCGGTGCCCGCTCCGTCCTTGCACTCTGGCCACTGATCTGGCCACTTCTACCGCGTACTCGCGCACAAAGCTGCGCGCCGGCTCCTGATTCTCCTGCGGGAGGATCGTTAAGTCTGCGATGAAGGTGGTGACGCTGTGCACGAAATTGGGTGCCACCTGGAGCGCACGGAACTCAATGAATACCCGGGTCGTTTTTTGGCCAGGTAACTGCGTCACGTCCACGTACACCCCCGCATACGTCAGCCGATCGCAAAGCAACGAGTATGCCACCAAGTCAGCAACCCCCGGCGCTGGCACGTTCACCTGTTGGATGTCGTACCGCAACTGCCTCTCCTCGTTAAACCGATGCGGCAACAGGCGATCTGCAAGCGGCGTTTGGAAGTGCTCTAGGGGCTCATGCTCCGGCTGGCGATGGTTCATCCTTCTCCCCGGCACTTTCAGCACCAATGGACTTGGCAGATCGAGAAGAGGAGGAGGATGAAGAAGGAGCGGGTGATCTCGCAGGAGCGAGGGTCCGTAGGGGACCTAGCAATGGCTGGAAGGGCCGGAGCGCGGCAGCGTGCCGTGTTAGCGGTCGAGCCTGGGAGTTGTGACGGGGAATCAGCTTTACGGAGTGCTGTCCCTGTGCGCCAACTTTCGTGACCTCGTAAATGCCTGTGTATCGCGGGTGGATCTTGGAGGAGCGCGCAGATTTCCGTACCTGTACCAAGTCCCCAACTTTATAGCGGGGCAGTGGTCCCGCCGACGCGTGTCGGTTCTCGTAGTCCCGGATCTGCCGTTGATGCGTCCGATCTACGGCTTGCTGTCGACGGCGAGCTAACGGGGGATAGGCCCTAGCCATTAAGTCCAGGTAGTGGCGGGCCTTGTCTCGATTCTGGGCCCGTGTTGCTCTAACTTTCGTACCCACTAAGGGGGACAATTGCACCCGAGGGACACTATTGGTTCTCAGTTGAAAGGGGGACACCCCAGTACTACCGTGTGGGGTGGCCCGATAAACGGCCAAAATGTGATCCACAATGACCGGCCAGGGTCGGGTATCTCCCGCAGTGATATTCCATCTAAGGGTCGTCTTAATCAGTCGGTTGGCATTCTCTACCAGGCCATTGGCTTGAGGCCAATGCCCCGACGAGTAGATAATCTTAACGTCCGCCCTGACTAGGTGACGTTCTACTTCGTCTTGAAATTCTGGCCCATTGTCCATGTGTATTTCTTCTACGTCTAGATGCATGCACAAAAATCGATTTACGTACCAGGCTACTTCCTGCGAATTCCGGCTGGTCATAGGGTACGCCTCGATCCATTTTGAAAAATTATCGACGGCCACTAAAAGAACATTGAGTTCTCCCTGATCGACGAGCCCTCTCGGAACGTTGATGTCCGCCGTATCGATGCTAACTTTCTGAAAGAGGCGCTCTACACGAGTGGGCACCATCGTCCGAGGCATCTGTACAGGCGCCTTGTCCGCCGCGCAGGCCGGGCAGATTTGAACGATGTATTTCACATCTTCTCGAATTCCCGACCAGTACCATCCGTTCTTTTCGATGGCTTTTTCCGTGTACTTGACCGCAAAATGGACCGCATCCTCCTCATGAGCGGCTCGTGTCCAATCGAACCTAGCAAGAGGCCGTCAACCAGCTAGACTCTCCGTCGTCATCGACCTTCTGTTTTTGTAATTTCGGGACCTGCCAACGATAGTCTTGCGCCCGCTCCGTGACTCTCCGCCGTTCGGCTTTGGTAAGTTCTGACAGCGAGTCGCCTGACAGTCTTCGTAGCAACAGAAGGTCCATCCAGACCTCTGCCCGGCGGGCACTCGGCGCAAATCCGTCGGTTGTTCTAGCGTCCAGATACCGCATCTCGGTAGGGACTTGGTCCGTTCTACAATTGGGACAGACCAACGTCTTTTCACATCGGTACCTAACGCACTGTCCGTGAGACATAACCGTATGACACTGACTACACTGTACCCATAAAAGAAAACTGGGCCCTCCCGGATGTGACCCTTCTTGGTCCGGGATCATAGGTAAGGTACAAAAGAAACAGGGACTTAGGTGCGTTTCAGAAGACGAGTTGGGGCTAGACGAGAGAGCGAGGGAGTGGAATGAGGGCTAAGAGATAGTGTCGGCCATCTCCGATGAAACCTCCATTTCAGACTCAGGCGTCGTCCTTACGCAACACGTATAGCTCCCCGTAGTGTGGTTTCGTCGCCGCGACTTCTGGCCTCCACGGAATGAGTCGCTCATTGGCGAGACACTTGTTGGGCGGCAGGAGGCGCGTTAATCCATCGGCGTTACCATGCTCTTGCGTGGCGCGATCGCGGATGTCGAAGTCATAGTCTTGCAAACGCACCGCCCACCTGCCCAGCGTCACCGTGTAGTCCATGTTGTTGCGTAGGGACAGCAACGGCAGATGATCCGTCACCAGCACGAATTTTTGGCCGTACAGATACGGTCGGAAGTGTTGAATCCCCCACACCACCGCCAGACATTCACCTTTGCATGCTTCGTAATTAGCGTGCGCCTGGCTCAGCGTCTTGGACGTATACTCAATGACGTGCTCCCTTCCGTCCTCCCCGTGCTGAGTCAGCACCGCCGATATCGCCTGAGGCTGCCAGTCCGTGTACAGTGCGAACGGTCTTGTCGGGTCGGGACGCGCCAACACAGGAGCAGATGTTAGAGCCTCCTTCAACGCCTGAAACGCCGCCTCGCATTCCGGCGTCCAGATCAGCTGTTCCTCTTTCTTCAGCAGGTTCGTGAGAGGCTTCGCTATACCGCCGAACCCCTTGATGAAGCGTCAGTAGTAAAAAGCCAGCCCCAGAAACGCCCGAACCTGGGTGAGTGTGACCGGCGCCGGGGCATCTTGAACTGCTGCCACCTTCCTCGGATCCGGTTTTAGCCCGTCGACCGTGACGATATACCCCAAGAATGAAATCTCCGACAATAAGAACTTGCTTTTCTCCAAGGCTACTTTGAATCCGGCATCTTTCAGTGCATGCAAAACCCACTCGATGTGTTCCACGTGGTACTCGTGTGTTTTTTAAAAGACCAAAATATCATCCATATACACAATCACGCAGAAATTGATCAGGGGCTGGGTTAGTCGGGTTTTGTTAACGAACTCAGCGAAGGCCATATTCATGGCCCGCTGAAACGTTGCCTGGGCGTTGCAAATTCCCATGGGACACCGGACCCATTGCCACGTGCCCTCGAATAGGACAAAAGCGGTTTTGGGTCGGTCCTCCAGTCGGATCGCGACATGGTGAAAACCGTGTCAGATATCGAACTTGGAAAAGACTCGAGCGGCCCCGATAGCATCTAACAAATCATCGATTCGCGGCAAGGGATACACATCTTTGGTAGTGATGGCGTTCAATTTCCGATAGTCGATACATACCCGGATCGAACCATTTCGTTTTGGCACAAGGACCACGGGAAAAGACCACGGTCCCAGCGATGGTTCGACCCACCCCAACCACTCGAATTCCCGTACCCTTTCCAAGGCCAACTGCCTTTCTTTAAGGGAATATCGGTACGGTCGGCAGTGAATCGGGACGTGATCCCCGGTATCAATCGCATGTTGTATCAAAGGGGTTAGCCCTATGTCGTGGTCCTGAATACTGACGGCCTCAGGATAGGCCCGTATAACCGCCAGGAGGAGGCGTCGGTATTCATCCGGAACACGGGTTGGTAACTGCACTTACACGGAGGGGCTGAACCTGTCCTTCCCTTCCCAACTGTTTCGTTAATCTCCAAGAAATGGCGACCGCCGATAATCCCGAGTCTAGGATGGCGGCCGAAGGGTTTACCCAGACCTCACAATCACACTCTACGCTTTTCCAGGATATAGGATAGGCCCGGAGGAATACCTCGGGTTTTTCCGAGGCGGAATCTATGGTCTGGATCATCCCTATCCGGTTGGCTTTATGCACCTCTGAGGTTGCGGGTTGTGGTTCCTCGTTGGCGGGTGGGTCCCGTAGGACCGACCTTTTGCCCTTTCGACTTTCCTCGAATCGGCGCCTGTTTTTAAGGCACCGCTCGATCAACTTTTCGTTAGCCGCTTCAGAAATGGTTAGCAGATATGGAATAGGGACGGGGATCCGAAGATCCATAGCCTTCAAGGCATCCAATACGTCGATATGGCCATCCTTGTATTCAGGACCAGGTACCGCAAGATCTTCGAACCCTGGTCGCCACGGCCCGAGGTCGCTTTCTTCGGTAATCCGTTGGACGTGACGTATCACTCCGATGGTCCCAGGTTCGAACATCGCCGCTGCCATATACTCATCGTGTCCTATCTCAGTGGCTGCAGGGGTCACCATCTCCGTCGTTCCTGTATCCATTACCATGGCTACCCTCCTCTGTCCTGCAGCGGTGGGAGCAGCCACTGGGATTTGGGAAGGTCCGGTAGGACCGCCCTGAGTTCGGGGTTTCGGACAATCTTTCGCAAGATGGCCTGGCTGATTACAATTATAACAGCGTAGGGGTGGGACAGCCCCGGCCACGGCCGGTCTTATCATAGGGGCTCCGGCAGCCATAGCCTCATGTTGCCGTTGTGCGGCGGCTATGCGTTGTCGTTGAAGACCTTGCACAAACTCCGTCAACGGGGCTACTACCGTAACTAGTTGGGCAGCGACCTCTTTCATAGAGGCTTTTTCCTCGCCCCGGCCTCCTTGCGTTTGACTAGGGCGACGGGAGGCCGAAGCAGAGGAGGAAGCTTTCCGATCCGAGCCTTTTTTTGTCGGGCCCAACCCGAAGCGATCTTCGAACATACGTGCCGTAGCGGAGTAGCTATTGCGTTGAACGCCCGATGGGTCATCTTTGTCGGATTCTGTGTCCGGGCCCACATCGTAATTTTCCTTCCCGTACTTAATTGCGTACTGAATTAGCTCCGTCAGGGTATGTTCTATAGGGTTGCATTTCTTGCGGATCTTCTTCCGCAGACGAGAGTCCGACAGTCCTCTAAGGAAATCAGTCTGTACCATTTTCTCATCCACCCCGGAGCGTTCGGCTAGGTACGTAA